TTTGAAAATGAAAACAGAATAATTTTCGAAACGTCAATAACTTCTTGAAGTGAGCGGTATGTAGTGATGTATTTTCTGTATTTATTTATTTGTCTGCATTTTTCAGTGGGAGATGTTTATTTAGGAAAAACTATTTTTCATTAACTTCTTTCATATGTCAACAAATAAAGGAAAAAATGTAAATCTAACTATGAATTTGGTAGTGATAGAATGAATAAAAATGTGTTATTCCGAACTTTGGAAAAAAACCTGGGTTTCTTATCGAAAATAATTCCACTTTGCACATTTTTTTTTAAAAGATTCAGGTTATCTTTTAGCGCGTCATAGACGATAATCTATACCAATGCAGTTTAGATTATCGCCTATTTCGTTTTGAATTGTCATCTTAAGCGTACAATACAACAAAGAAGCAATAAATTGCAGTCATAAACAGATAACTTTAAAAATTTTCACTAAAAACGGGATTTAACTTTTTTTTATTATTTTAGGCAAGAGAAATATACACGCTTAACTTTACACCTTTCACAGACATGAATACTGTTGAAACAAATAATCCTGCAGCAGGAATATTGCAACTTTTGACAAAAATAGCAGCGTGTAAAAAGTACTTAATACAAGACAAAAAACAGGAACAACAAAAGATATCCACTTTATAAATTACCGTTATCCTTAATTTTAACAGTCTACACCAGGGGTCGGCAAGTAATTTTAGATGGAGCCCGGATACTTTTAAAAATTTTTAACGAGGTCCAGAAAAAAATTCATATTTCTTACAAATATTCATTTGAACTCAAATTTAATCTGCTTACTAACCATTAAGAACTCAAAACACTCACACAATTGTAAAATACTAGAAAAAATGATAAGGTTGGCACTCGAACGTAAAAAAAAACATTTTTTAAATAATTTATTAGAGTAATTTATACTTTCAAAAAAATTTTTGGCGGTCCAGTATTTTACCTTCCGCGGTCCGGACCTGGACCGCGGTCCGCTAGTTGCCGACCCTTGGTCTACACTCTATTTTAGTGAATTAATCTCACATATTTCCGTAACTTGTAAGTTTTTCGCAAAGTATTGAACTTTATATTTCGATTATTACAAAATACTTTAATACTATTTTAAGATATTCAAAATGGTGTTTTGACGCAATGGAAATATAAGTTTTACAAGTTTCATAAAAGTGATTACTGTATACAGCACTAGAAATATTCACATTCTTATTATAAAATATTATTCCGGCAGCTGTATTACAAACATTGATAAAAATAAAAAGGAATAAGGAATTAATCTCGATTTTACAATATTTCATAGAGATAATAATCACTTTTTACTAACACTTCGTAAGATTGCGTAACATGGCACTAGAGAGTATTATTTTGTTGTTTATAAGTTTTTGTATCTTATTAATAATTTTATTTAGATTATACAGTAGTTTGTTTGGGTAATTTATAGTACCTACATATTGCTATTTGATGACTGATAATCAAATCAAGTATATTTCAAGTATTAGCCATGTCAAGTATGTAGGTATTCGATTTTCAAGACTTGACATTTTTAAATTATACTATGATATTTAAAAAAGCATAATAAATAGGTTTATATTTACAAAAGTAAACTCTGAACTTTACTCCCAAAAATATAAAGACGGTACTATAACAGTTTGTGTAAATTACAATCAAATAGCCAAGAAAACAAAAATATAGCCAACAACTTTAGTTAAAAAATAATTGTACATCGAGTTATTTAAGAACTTAATTTTAGGTTAAAAATGTAAAACAAATATTCAGGACTGAAAATTGACTTCTACAAATAACAATTAGAACTTTATCTTTCTTTTGTTTTGCTCATTTTTCCTATTTATATTAATTTAAGTTTCTGTTAACATTTCCTACTTTATTAACCACAGCTGATTTTATTGCCCTGTCCTTCTATCAACGAAGGTTTTCTACATTCTGCAAGTGCTTGAATAGAATTGAAATAATTGCATTGATAGTACAAGACAAACACATTACACTTTTCAATATTTGAAAACACCATTTTTATTCAAAATTATAATTTTTTAAATCACAGTGAACTATAACAAAATTCAACCATCAGTTAGGTATAACAGTAAATGATGATGAAAATGATGAGATTACTGGGATAACACATTTGTTTTCATAGTGTGCTACATTTGGCATAAGCTACTTTGTCTGTGGAAGAACAACGTTGAAGCTTAAGTTTTCTCTAAAGTAAAAACTGATATTTCAGTAATGTGAAATGAAAATCTGTATTTTGCATATTAAGTATATTGTTGTTTAAAAATTGTAGGTAACGAAAATTGTTTGGTTTGCATACATAGATACTTGTGGCGTGTGGATAGAATAATTCGACTTCTTACCGCACCGATTAATCATTACAATTTATCGTTACTGACATTATCGCAGCTAACGCAAGAGATTGCTCTCGGTATTGCATCTTTGTGCAACATCACACACAATAATTCCTGACTTTTAGATATACCAATATCTATCTTCAGGGGCAGAGAGGTACCCTCACTAAAACAGTGTAATATGTAGATGCAATTTTCATAAAGACCGATCGTTATATTGCAAACGTATTATTCAAATTTTGAAGAACTCTTGGGAAATAACTTAGATCTTTGACGACAAAGCTAAACGTCCTATATGAAAAATATCTTCTCATATTTTTACTGATTTCTGTACTTCTGTTTCTGAATCACGCTAAAGATAATATTGTCTGTTCGACTAATTAAACACGTTTTAAAGTGCATTGATTCATATTCCACCTTAATTCATATAATTTACAGTTGAACATGTAGAGGGTATATTTACTAGTGGTGTGATATTTTTCGCAACATCTTCATAAATCAATCTATGTCTTATCTACTAAATGAAATGCCCGCTAATAACACCGCCAGTTTAGATAATAAACATGTAATAACACTTGATACCCGATACTCGGATGAAAACACAAAAGTGGAGATTTTGGATACACTAATACTTACTGTTTATCTAGACAGTACATTTTTGAAAATATACTTCTAAATTTTACAAAAATTCGCGAGAAAAAAATCCCCGATTAACAAACCAGTTAGAAAGTCATTAACGTGATATTTATAACTGAAATATAGAAAAAATAGTTTTTACTACACTTTTGAATTAAAAAAAAAGCATGACGAAAACCCTCACTGCTTCCATCAAAGGTCTATTTTGAGTAACATGAAAATATAACACAAATGTTTTAAGTTTAGAATAAATTTATTTAAAATGTGTAATCAAAATATATATTTAACATGGGTTAGTACTTTCCTAAGTTATGAAAATATATTCAATGCAGAGCTAGTACAAAACTATATACCCACAAATTAACTAAAGAATTGTTAAAAGTAAAGTAACATTTTTCCAGCTATAATCTACTTACACCTAAGAAGTATCGTTTTAAGGCATCTTCTGTAAAATTGGGTATATCCTAGCTCTGTGTACATTAAACATATCTTCATTCTTGATAGTAGGCATATACAATACTTACATGTAGAAACGCAAACACCAAAACTAAATTATAGGTACCTAAGTAAGTAATTTCGAAGTTAGACGATCAAAACTGTGAGATACTACTTAAAACAAGTAACAGTAAATACCACCAATTCGAGAAATTTGGCGGTTTTGTGAGAAATCATAACTTAATTTATGCCATTCGTTTTTTGCTTTACTTTCGAATAGCGAATGAATCGTTTATTTAAGGAAATTGGAAATACTTTTAAAAGATTTGTATTAAAAAAAATTATTCAATAATTCGTCTTAATTCTTATCGACATATCTACAGAAAACTACTGATTTGTATTTTCATCGAATAAGGCATTTACTTTTTTTATGAATAAATACTGGAAAATAGATGAAAAATACTGTTGAACCATCTAACTCAGACTTACTTCATAATAAGAAAAACAAAACAAAGATATGGTTTTAATTTGTTTTATACGACTCAAATGATACTTATTTATAAAAGGTAGTCAAAACTGTTTGTTTAATAACTAAAATAAAATTTATTCAGATGGTTGTTTATAATCGTTAAATAGTAATGTGAAAAAAACTATAATAAATTATTAGTTCTCCATATCCTTTAATTTCTGTTCTGAAAATGTTTTCAAATATACTGAGAATATTCAACAATTTTATTTTTGAAACCTTTCAAACAACATTACTTTTCAAGTTATTTTTTACTGATAAGCTATTCGACGTAGTAATTGTTAATACTGCAATAAAAACTTAATATTTGCAGAAAAAAATTACATCAAGATGATTAAGCTAAAAACTGTAAAATTATTAATGTATGTAGGTAAAAATATAGGTATTAAGTACAGACATTAATTTTAATTAATGAAGCAAATATTATTACTATTAATATAAAATAAGCTATTATTTGGTAAAGTATCAGTTTAGTAATTGTTAATAAATAAATACGACTATATACGAATAGATAATATAACTATTAATGATAAATATGTCATCCTATTTAAAACAGTATTAAGGGAGAGATAGTGACAATAATTCCTTAATAATTTACTGCCAATGTTTGTTTTCCACGTTTATATTTTTCAACTATCTAATAAATCAAAATATAATATTAACTAGTAAAGTAAAACGTTTTAGAAATGTAGAATTAAATATTGTCTCCGTCTCTTTAAAACAGTAAAATTTTATTTCATTAGTAATCACATTTTGATCATGATTTGCTATTTGTGATAACCACACTATAATAAACTATATCTACAGTTAAAAAATCAAATTATTATTCTCAAATCCGTGTTATTAATTTTAAATTTCTTTAAACCTCTTCAATCCCTGTGTTTGTGCCTTTTTTGACATACCTTTTATAAATGTTAAATGAAGCTAACAAAAAATGTATAATTAAAATTGATTTAGTTTATTAAAATTACATAATGTAACATTTTATATACACTTTATACAAAATATAACAACTTTTCGTCTCTACAAAAATCTACAAATTCCATTAGAAAAAATAGTGTCACATATTAAAATTGCGTTGTAGTTTTATCTACATTTAATACAAGTATCATTTTCGACCTGCAAAAATGACTTCCATAACAATTTTTTTACACGGTTTACTTATTAATATTGTGACTTAAAGCTCGTATAAAAATTTAATAGAAAAACCTTTTAAGAGTACCTAGAATGACGTGGAAACATTTATGCGTTCCTGACGGGGTCCCTCGAGTGGTGATTTTGGTTGACAGCGGGCGTCGGTCGGGAATTTTCTTCCTCCATTGTTTCCAGAAGTTTCAGTTTCTTGTATTTTTCTAACAAAGGCATTAAAATTTAAGTTCATATATAATGCGTATTGCAAATTATAGTCTGTTTTCAAATGTGTAATATAAAGAAATATAAAGAAAGTTATGGTAATCTCTATACATTTATTTCATTTTTTTAAGTGCAGATTTATTTAAAGGGATATAAATAACATTTGGAAAAACTTGAGGTATTGTTGTATCACTGGTGAGATATAAGAGCAGTTTAAGGTTTTAAGGAAAATGTAGAGGGGTCTTCTATAAAACTTCTATAAAGCATCTACGATCCACAGACTTAAATCCTCTCGATTTATTTCTCTGCAGACATCTTAACAATTGATTTATAAGACGAATGATCCACACTCTTTAAAATATAGAAGAGAAAGTGTCTGTAAGTGTCCCAAAATTATCTTCGGGTAGGCCAAAGACTATGAAAATGTTCTTGACAAGCATTCTGCCATGTCGGTAATGGCTTTATAGAGAAAATGATAAATCTGTCGGATCTTGTAATGGATGACACTGGATTTTCTAATGGATAACTCTTGTAATGGATAACATTTATTACCACTAACGAATAACGCTTGTAATGGATAATGCTTGTAATGGACAACGCTTGTAATGGATAAAGCTTGTAATGGATAACTGAACGTAATGGATAACCTTGTAATGGATAACGGAATGTAACGAATAACGTTTGTAATAAATAACCCTAGCAATGGACAACGCTTGTAATGGACAACGGTTATAATGGATCACACTTGTAATGGGCAACGCTTGTAATGGACAACGAAACGTAATAGATAACGCTTGTAATGGAGAACTCTTGTAATGGACAACTCTTGTAACTCTTGTAATGAATAACGCTTGTAATAGATAACGGAACGTAACGATTAACGTTTGTAATGGATAACCCTTGTAATGGACAACGCTTGTAATAGGCACGCTGGTAATGGATAACACTTGTAATAGATAACGCTTATTACCAGTCAAGATTTATTGAAAAAATTCATTTCATCACCATTTCATGCCTTAAAATTGAATTTTCCAAGAGGCAAAAGAATTTAAATTTTTTATCAAAAAAACGGTTCCACTCAATTCATTTGTATATAATTCTATATAAACGAAACTATCAATTATTAAAAATGTATATCAAAGTTAGTGCTGATATTTCAACTGCTTTAGGGGAAATTTAAGAAAAAACTGGTCAAAAGGAGATCTTCAAGCCACTACATCTTCATAAGAATTGACCCTTGGACATTTTGTATTAATTTTAAACAAGTAACACAAGTTTGGCAGTCGAATTAAGAGACGCCCTGTACAATTTAATTTTTTACTATTCCATACCATTTCAAGACAGACTATAGATGCAAATTTTTGTCGAGAACTATAAATAATTGCATGCCGACAAACTATTAAGAAGGTAGAAGACGCAATACTTACTGGCAGTTTTTACCATGATGACACCCCACCATATGGACCAACCCCAACCGACAAGACAGAAGAGCACCGTGAAGAATTGTCCGAATCCTATAAATGTATTTATTATAAACGATCCAAATCTCTGTTTTGCCCCGTCTCGTTGAGAAAATCTTGGTTTGCCGATGCACAGACAAAATAGTCCACTGAAGAAGGTTCCTGCAAAAATCAATAAAATTTTGTTAAATTGCAAAAATTAAATAGGCTCACAATATTAAACTTTGTATGCCTTTGACAAAATTCTCTGAATAACAAATATTGAAATTCTCGCAGTTAAAATAGATCAAACAAACATTTGAATATGTATAGAATCTTTTCTAAAGCAATTTGTATAGGATAAGTAAAATACATATTGTAATAAATTATAACACTGTAATAAATTATAANATTACTCTCTTTCATTTCCAAACAGACTATAGACTAGTTACTATTTTAGTAGTTCTTATTATGAAGATGGACCATCACATCAGATTAAGTTATTATTTCTTTTTATCTATAATCGAGCATGCCATATTGTCAGTGCTGAGCTACAAACTGTTAAACAATTTTCAAAGTACATAATTTAAGTTTAAATTCTAATTAATGTAAAATGTGTTTTCCTTGGTACCAAGAAAAAGGTTATAAGTGTAAGACTCAATTTTAATATTATATTTAATGGTATTCCAATACCTATTACTGATCATGCCTTGTGGTTCAATGAGCATATGTAAACATTACTCCAAAAATCTTACAACTTACACCTTTCTTAGGTTAATTTGTAGTTAAGGCCATTTACTTAATAATAAATTTAAAATTATGTTACGTGAGTCCCTTGTTTCCCATTTTAAATGTTGTGTCTATGTTTATGACTTAAAGAAAAAATAAACAGAATTCGAAAAGGTCTAATTTCATGATGTTGACAAGTGGTGCAACAGGAAAATGGCACATGCTATCATCTTGACAATCTCGTCCATAAAATTTGAATCATTCGATGAATATCGGATTTAAAAATATGTATACAATGCCGTATCATCGAAGTTCTCTCTTTAAAAGAAGTTATTAAGTGGACAGTTGAGAGTTTATACTTGTGGATATCAATAAAAACTTGATAGGTAATCAATATAAATCTTTAGATATTTCGTTTACTTGTACTTAAATTAACTATGTTTTCGCACTTTTGGCGATGTTCTTTTGTTGTATTAGTATTTTGAACTGATATGCTCTTGTAGGGTTGAGTTTTAGTATATTTAGCTAGGTTTCTCCATAGGTCAGCGAATTTTTGTTTCACTTTTGTTTATTATAACACGTTCTTTTCATGTATTTTCAGTGGCACAAATTAATTTTATGAAGCAGTCTGCATACTTGTATATGGACTGTTTTTAATTTTTTTCTCTGAAATAATTGAAATGTAATGAGAAAATTATATTTTAATTTACTATTATACTGCCTAAGGTAGGTATGTACATAGAAGTGAATTTTTAACCTTTAAAAGGTGTCACTGAATAATTTTTGGCCTAAAGTATGCATTGCTGAACTTATTTTTTATTACAAAAATATTATGAACATACCTATTTTGAGGCCCAATTTTTTGCTCAAAAAGCAATATAGTTTATTAATCACCTTTCACCGAACCAATTTGTTCACTAGCTGACATCAGTTATCACACACATATGTATCGCTACAAGTGCTGGAAAGATTACAGTGCCCACGTTTTAATATGATAGATTTATCTAACGGTAGAGTCATCAAATTTTATTGTTGTTATCAGATCATAATCCTTTAATTATAATTATTTAGTCTAGAAGGTCGTAACTATGTACCACACGAACTACATTTTTGTCCGATCATCGTAATTTGCGTAGATAAAATTTTCGAATTGGAAATAACTGGAAATATTTTTGCGATTCAAAAATCATTCGAGAAAAATAAAAATGATAGTAAATCACTTCGCACTATATCATGACAAAATGTATTAAGAAGTTAAGAAGTACCAAGTATCATAAAAACTGGTTTTATTTTAACAATTTTTTGTATCGTATTCAGAAAGTTGTGGTAAGTACTTAGTTCTAAAAATTGTAAATATATTATGCAACTGAAAAACATTGAAAATGGTACCTATACCTATCTAAATATTATTATCTTGTTCTAACACCTGATAAAGGTTTAGAGGCTTGATTTTTATAGGTCGTCTCCTTGTAACTGAAATCAGTAATTTCCAACAAAATTATATATAATAGTTATTTACACCATAAAGGAGGTAATAGAGTCCGAGACTGGTAAATTATACTTAACGATTAGGTTTTATATTTTGACATTTCTTAATCAATTCATTTTGACATTATTCGAAATCTAGCAAAGTCGCCTTGGTTGTTTGGATGTTGTCGTTTCTAAGGCGTTTATAAACAAAGCTACATAAAAGTTGCAATTTTGCTGGTTTTAAATTATTATTTCTAAATGAGTGATTTTCAAATAGAAAGTGCAGCAAATGCTGCCTGCGAATTTTTATTTCCCGAGAAGTCGAAAGTGCGCTACGGACGAGCATATAGGAATTTCAAAGAATGGTGCCGGAACAAAAATACTGGTGTTTCTGAAATTCTCAAGAAATATATCAAGATTAGATTTGAAATTAAAACTGAAATTTCACGCTTTTTTATACGCTATCAAGCAGGTAGATGTTACAACCAACCAGTCGGCAAGAATACCCTTTCCATGATTCCTAATAAGATTGCACAGTTTTTTAAACTAGAACATCCTGAAACATATACAGGCCATTCATTCCGAAGGACATCGGCAACGTTACTGGCTACATACAGGAGTTCATGTATTAGCAATCAAGAGACATGGTGGGTGGAAATCAGCCACAATTGCAGGAAGTTATGTTGCCAACAAAAATGAAATAGCCAACAGGATTATTTACAATGACACTTCTCCAGGGTCTAGTAGTACGTCGCATCATGCTGTTTTAATGGATCAGTCAGATGATATTGAGCCTCCGGTGACTGAAATGGAGCGGTCAAATCATTATGAGAAAAATGTGACAATTAATAAACGCGAGGGCAATAATTATCCAGATTTTATAAATGTTACTAAATTTAATAACTGTACAATTACTATAAATATTCATTCATCGCTTTTTTCCCTTACCCCACTTACTCCTGTTGTCCTTATCATCTTTCACTTCTTCGGTAAACCACTGACCTCCTTAAAAACAATATACAGGGTGATTCAGAACTTATCCAAAAAAAAATTCTGGATGTACAGGGGACCCTTACAAATACAATTTTGTAAAGAAAAAATGAAAAAGGGCAGTTCGAAATTAATTTAAAAATACACTTCTGGAAACTGGTCCACTGTAAAACCTGACCTCGCACAATGTGACCGGCATGGTGGTGTGATAAAAACTGACAGAAACTTTCGCAAGGTAAGAAATAAATAGAATTTTATAGCACCTATTTTATATCGGCAAATTCAAATGCTTTTGCCTTTATTAATTATTAATAAAATTAATTTGTGTTTTTAAATAATAAAATCATTTGACATACCCGATGCTGCAACAGCAATTGTTCAAAATTTTATCCACTCACGTGTAAACACATTTGGGTCCGTCTTACTCACTTTCTACGAACTAACACAAATGATGTCTTGCTTCACCATAACACAAATGCTTCACCATAATA